CCTCACACCAGCTGTGTGTGTGCATGTGCCCAAAATCCCGACAGGAGAATGGAGGAGAAGGCATTGTGATGTGGTCATTCCACACACACCCAGAAGGGAGAATGATTTCTTGCTTTCTGTCTCTCACTCTGGTGAGTGCCCTATAGTAAAAATCTCTTAAAAAATAGAAGAAAAAAGAATTTTTCACACACTAGATTTGGCTAACCTCTTTGTTTTCACTTAACTTGTTCTATTTCCTACATTTCCTATAAACTAATGGTTAGATTTAGATTCCTGATTAGTTCAGGTTCAACTCTTCTAGCAAGAATAATTCATAGACAGAGTAGTGTACTTCCTATTGCAACACACTTGGAAGATGGCTACTTTTTTTTTTTTTTTGGCTATAGGACAAGTGTGCTCGCTAGAAAGACAGAGAGAGACAGAAAACCAGAAATTACCCTCAGGGCATGGCCATGCTGCAATTGCTTCTCCTTTGTTCTCCTAGGATTTGGGGCATGTATATACAAGTGCTAGCATGAATTTCAGGTCATAAGGTCTGGGGCTCAAACCACAGTCGGCCATGTGGGAATCCAGAGCCTTAACCACCTAACGTCTTGTCTTTTTTTTTATAATATTGCTCAGTCTAGCCTTGAATTTAATATTCTCCTGCCTTAAGCTCCCATGTGGCTGAAATTACAGATACGTGCCACCATGCTGGCCTTTAGGTTAGATCTAGAATCAAAGCAGGCCTCTCACGTGGCTGCAGCCTACAGAGCACAGCATCTTAGCAGCATGTGCCACAACTTATCTAAAAGTGAAGAAACCAGGCCAGCCAGGTGGCATGGTGGTTAAGGTGGCTGGATCCCACCTACCGAACTGCATGGTTTTAGTCCTAGACCCAGTGGCTTGAAAAACACACAGAGCGCATGTGCATGTGTGCCTAAAATCCCAAGTAGAGAATGAAGAAGGGACTATAGTGTGGCCATCCCCCTGGTCAGGGGGAGTGCATTCTCACTTTCCCTCTCTCTCCAGTGAGTGTACATGCCCTATAACAAAACATACATACGTAACACCTCACGCTTTAATTCTATTTTTCCATGACGTTTTTTGAAGTCCCTGCATATACATATCACCAAAGCAATCACAGGCCAGAAAAATAGGAATACTATGAATAATAAAACATTGATAGTATACCAGATCTACCTTTGGAAATGGGGATGGGATCGCCTTCCTCTAAGTCTCACAGGGTAGGGACAGACACAGGACCTCTACTTATTACTGTGTAAGTTGTGCGTTGCACGACTTCCAGAGGCCCCATTCAGTCAGTTTTAAGATTATGATGATAAATTTCCAGCAGATGGCAGAAAAGTGCTTGGGAAAGGGCACTTTTTCTGATGAACAGAAAGTCACAGCCAAACAGACTAGGTAGATGCCTGACAAAATCAAGATGGTTAGAAAGTGAGGGTGATGATGGGATATGAGTGCTTGGTAGTTTGCAACAGAAGTAAATAATCTAATTTATTATAAACCTTTTAAAATGATATGTGGAAGTGCTCGCTTCAGCAGCACATATACTAAAATTGGAACGATACAGAGCAGATAAGCATGGCCCCTGCACAAGTATGATGCGCAAATTCCTGAAGCGTTCCATATTTTCAAATATATACATATATATGAAACTAGAAATGGAAAATTATTGACAATAACATGTATGATTAAGCCGCTATGCAGTATATTCTGGATGGGAAATCACGTTTTGTATGCTATGACAATGCTCAGTGAATGAATGTAAATTAATTAATTAAAAACAAATAAGGGGAACCAGCAGTTAGCGTAATGGCTATGTCGCTGGACTCCCACGTAGTCGACCGCGGTTCGTGTCCCGGACCCGGTGGCTTAAATCTCACGCTGGGCGCGAGTGCGTGCGTGCCCAAGATCCCGAGAGGAGAATGGAGGAGAAGGGATTGCGGGCAGTATATTCTGGATGGGAAATCACGTTTTGTATGCTATGACAATGCTCAGTGAATGAATGTTCCAAAAAAAAAAAAAAACAAATAAAAGAAAAAAATAAACTATATGTGGTAAATTCTATTTTAATAAAATTATCCATTCCAGATTAAAGAAAAAATTGAAAATCTTTATTCAATTCCAGTATATTCTCTTGGAAAAAAAATACTCAGAAAATAGATAGACCAAATTGAAAATCGTGATGTACAAAACCCACTATCATTTATCAATAAAAAGTGAACCAGTGGCAAGATTCATTTTCACGAGAGCAATAGCGATGCATACATTAAACACCCTACCTTCTCTTTCTCTTTTATAGCAAATGATTAAGGTATGGAAAAGACTCCTACACCTAGAAAAAAGCTATCATTGAATAGATAAAATACTATCACTGAAGACTGACCACAAGATAAGGCATGATTAATGTTAAGAAACCTACTTTCTTTTCTTTCTTTTTTTTTTTTTTCCTATCAGAGAGGGAAGGAAAGTGAGAAAACATCCCTGCTAGGGAGATGGTCAAGCCATAATCCCTTCTCCTTCATTCTCCTAGGGGGGTTTTGGGCACACATGTCAGGTGTGATTTTTTCAAGCTATAGCATCCCCGACTTCAGAGCTCAAACCATGAAGCTGGCTGTGTGGGATCCAGCTGCCTTTACCTTCGTGCCACCTGCTGGCCCTCAAGAAATCTGAGATTGAAAGAAAGTATTAACGTTTCTTCACTATGTAAACTGTGTCCATAAAAAGAGATGATGGAGTCAAAGCTCAACAAGCAGATATGGGATAAAGTTAGAATGCACAGCTATCACTGTTTCAGGAAAAGACTTCAGGAAAAATCTTTTGAAGTGATACTGGATACTCAATTTTCTCATGATTGTAACTCCACTTTCTCTTAATATCAAAGCAAAACGGTATACATGATTATATGATTTAAAAAATGTAGAGAGGTTTCTTTGGATCATTTTACACTTGGGGTCAATAGTATATGCAACGTGTGCGGTGAAACGGAATTCCTTTCATATCTTCCCTGTGGTCCCGAGCGTAGTCCCACAAGTAATAATCCAGAAGAATGGAGTTGATCTCTCCATTAGGCTTTTCATCCTTTTTTTCAATAAGCTCTAGAAGGCAATCCCGGATCAGCTCGACACACCAAAGTGAGCACCCTCTGATTTCCACCTCTTGCTTATCCCCATATGACAGCATTTCTCCTACAAGGGGAAAAATAGCAAGAAGCATTAATAGTCAGATACAAAATCTACCCAGAACTTTACTACAGAATAAAACACAGCATTTAAGTAGTACTCATTTAAAAACTGTAAACCTCGGACTTTATTTTCTTTATTCATGAAAGAGTAACGTGTGCATGTACAAGAGAATGACAACAGAGCATGAGAGAGAGAGAAGAACCATCCATAGGATCTGGGCACACCATGCTCTCCTTCCTCCAATGCTCCAGCTCGGTAGACCCTGGGCATCTGCATGCAAACAGGGATATTTCAGGCTATCTGGCGTGATATTTGAACCACAGCTGCTCTGTGGAATCCTGTTTTTCTTTCTTTCTTTTTTTTTTGAGAGTTTTTTGCTATAGGGCGTGTGCGCTCGCCAGACAGACAGAGAGACAGAAAGCAGGAAATCACCCCCCAGGGGTGGTGGCCATGCTGCAATCCCTTCTCCCTTCTCCTCCATTCTCTCGGGATCTTGGGCACGCACGCACACACGCCCGGCGTGAGTTTAAGCCACCGGGTCCAGGACTCGAACTGCGATCGACTATGTGGGAGTCCAGCGACATAGCCATTACGCTAACTGCTGGTCCCTGGAATCCTGTTTTTCTTGAGCAGCGATCATTACCACTATAACAATGAGCCAGCACTCAAGACTTTATTTTTGGCCACTTAAGTCACTTCTAAACTTAAGCATTATTCAAAACTGTAAGTTAAAAGTCCATAAGGAACAGGAACCATGTCTGACTTGTTTGTCTCAATATTCCCAGGCCTCAGTACAACACCTTGCACTTACTAGTTCTACAAGAAGTACTTCAGGGACCAGCAGTTAGCGTAATGGCTATGTCGCTGGACTCTCATGTAGTTGACCGTGGTTCATGTCCCAGACTTGGTGGCTTAAAACTCATGCTGGGGGACCAGCAGGTGGCGTGGTGGTTAAGGTGCTGGACACTCCCACATGGCTGACCAGGGTTCAAGTCCTGAATCTGGTGACTTGCTTTCTCACTTCCTCTCTCTCTCACTCTCACCCTCTGTCTCTCTCTGGTCAAATTGAGAAATAAATGAATGAATAAATAAAATAAATAATTATTAAAAAATTAAAACCCATGCCGGGTGCGTGTGCATGCGTGCCCAAGATCCTGAGAGGAGAATGGAGGAGAAGGGATTGCAGTGTGACCATCCCCCCTGGGGGGTGATTTCTCGCTTTCTGTCTCTATGTCTCTCTCTGTCTGTCTGGCGAAACCTCTCAAAAAAAAAAAAACACACACACACAAAAACAAGAAGTACTTCAGAAATCAGTATGTGGTAACCATAAATTTAAAAATGTGACATTACATTTATTCTATTTTTTTAAAGAATTATTTATTTACTTATTTAATTCCATTTGTTATAATTATCTTTTAATTTGAACAGAGAAACAGAGAGAAAGGGAAAGCAAGAAATGCAAGCCATCAAGTCCAGGACTCAAACCACAGTTGGCTATGTGGGAATCCAGCGCCTTTAACCACCATGCCACCTGTCAGTCCCCATTTATTATATTATTAGAAGAAAGGGAGACCAGCAGTTGGTGTAATGGCTATGTCACAGGACTCCCACGTAGTCGACTGCAGTTCGAGTCCCGGAGCATCTCCCTTCCTCACTTGGATACTGAAGGTTGTCTTAGAGATGGACACCTTAGGTGCATTAGGGAGAACTTGGGAAATTAAACTTGTTCACTTGAGAAGAGAAAACCGTGACCTTCTTTATATTCAGAATCTTCTAGTCAGCTCTGTTTGCATATGGAGCTGAGCACTCACACAAGATCTCCAGTCTACTGAGGGTATATCTGATCCTATGGGGTGGGCACTGGCCTTGCCTTGCACTGAGACTAAAGTAGGGCTCATCAACTTGAATGTCTGTAAAATCAGGCAGGGTAAACAAATGTGGGCATCAGACACCAACTGTGGTGAGCTAAAGAGTGTGGGCTGCCCTATCTATCGGTACAACGCGCTTCCATGTCTCTACTCTTAACAAGAAAGTAAGTTTGATTATCCTCCTTTACAAAGGAGAGCAAGGGAAAGGGAAAGATAGGCATTCTGGACAGGGTCTCACCTGTGTCATGGTCCTCTTGTCCCAACTTCCTTATTAATTAAGATTATAGGTGCACGCAACCATGCCCGGTATGTTGGCTTGGGAACTAAACCTGGACCTCTCATGTAATTTCCAGCCTCCTTCAGTGGTGATGCTACCTGTGTATCACTATAGCTGAGTCTCAAAAAGTTTGATTTTTATGTGAAATATTCTCATTTTCAAGCATTGGATACTAAATAAAAATTATTTAAAGTACTGTTCAGGCCAAAGAAAACCTGCAGGCTATACTTGGCCTCTGGCTACCAGTCTACACCCCTGCAAGAGTTTCACAATACTCAAGATATTCTGTGATCCCTAAAGATGAAGGCAAAAGGCCCCAGATCCACTGGCTTCATCTCTGGCACCAGGATCTTTTTTTTTTTTTTTAAAGAATTATTTTATGATTATTTTTAATTTGCTACAGGGCATAAGTGCTCACCAGAGAGACTGAAAGTGACAAAGCACACCTCCAAGTCCAGAACTCAAACTGTGGTCAGCCATGTGGGAGTCCAGCGCCTTAACCATCATGCTACCTGCTGGCCCCTGACACCTGGATCTTAAGTGGCATTTCTTATGCTCCCTCCATCTAACTCCCATAGCCTCGGGCACTGGTCAGTGGGGCAGGCAGAAGAACAAAGCTCCATTTCCTTACTGAGACTCAGGTTCCAGCAAACAAACTCATACCTTCCTCTTTGACACTCCTGTTAATCAATTCTTCCAAACGTGACCCTCAACTTGCCAAACTCTCAAATCAACCATGAGAGTGACCTTGGAGTCAGATGCTACCACCCAAGTATGGCCGTTAGATAAGACTAACGTTCTAGCTGACGGTCTGTCTGCAACCTTGAGGCAGACACACCCCGTTAACAGCACCCAGACTCCTGACTCATAGAAGCTGTGAGTTTATAAATATTTGTTTTAACCACCAAATTTCAGTGTAATTTGTTACACAGCAAAGATAACTATCATGAGTTAAACTATGTTCCTCCCCTCAACCACCAGGCCACAGAGCCAACCCCAAAGTTCAACTTTGATGAACTGAACTAAGGTGCAAAGGAACCTGTCCACCTTGTATGAAAGTCATAAGGATAGCAGAGTTTCCTTTGCAGGTGGTGTGGTGGTTAAGGTGCTAGACTTCCACAGGATGACCACAGTTTGAATCCTGGACCTGGTGGCTTATTTTCTCACTTTCCCTTTCTCTCTGTGTGTCCCTCTCTAGTCAAAATATAACAATAACAAATAAACTTAAATAAAATTCTTAAAAAAAAAAAAAAGAAGGTAAGCACAAATGGAGGCAAAAACAGTTGCAGCTGGACATCTGAATGATAAGTGCCTCTGAAGCTGAAATGAATAAAAAAGAGAATTCAGACAACTCTGTACGACTATTCCAGATGATCCCTTCTCACCAGATGATACTGTCTCCCTGGGTTCTTCTCAGTGTAGCAGAGACTATTCAATACTACAACAATTCAAAAGGAGATGGGCAAATCATGAATTAGGAAAAGGAAGTGAGAGGTGGCGCTTGAGTTAAACTTCTGTGGATGTGTAGGACTTGAACTGAAAAAAAAAAAAGAAAAAAGAAAGGAAAGAAAATTTGGGCATGGGAAACCATGCAAGAGAACACTTAAGAGGTGGGAATGTGCAGTTATAAAAGGGCCAAAAAATGTTTCTGTATCAACTGACCATGGCTATATGAAAAAGTGGACTTGATCGTCAAATGCTGGCCCTTTTAAGGGGTATCTAACAACTGATGACCCAAGACATGAGTGTTATGACATAAAATAGCAAGTTATTTATTTATTTATTTATTTATTTATTTCTGGGAGAGGTTTTTGCTATAGGGCGTGTGCGCTCGCCAGAGAGAGACAGAGAGACAGAAAGCAGGAAATCACTCCCCAGGGGGGATGGCCACGCACGCACACGTGCCCGGCGTGAGTTTAAGCCACCGGGTCCAGGACTCGAACTGCAGTCAGTCGACTATGTGGGAATTCAGCGACATAGCCATTACGCTAACTGCTGGTCCCAACAGCAAGTTATTTTTCAAATGAGGCAACAGGGACAAAATAGATTACCTAAGGCAGCAGAAAAAAAAACAGAAAAATAATGGCACTTTCATATTCTATTATTCTGATTTGGGAGATTTAAATCTGCTTTACAAGAGAAAATTATTCAATTATTGGATCATCAGAAAAGTCATGACGCGGGGCTGGCAAGTGGCATGGTGGTTAAAGGCGCTGGACTCCCACATGGCCGACCACGGTTCAAGTCTCGGACCTGGCGGCTTGCTTTCTTACTTCCTCTGTCTCTCTCTGATCAAACTAGAAAATAATAATGACAATAATAATAAATAAAGTTAAATAAAGTAATTCTTTAAAAAAAAAAAAAGAGAGAGAGAGAGACCAGCAGTTAGCATAATGGCTATGTCGCTGGACTCCCACGTAGTCGACTATGGTTTGAGTCCCGGACCCGGTGGCTTAAACTCACACCGGGTGTGTGTGCGTGCATGCCCAAGATCTAAGAGGAGAATGGAGGAGAAGGGATTGCAGCATGGCCATCCCCCTGGGGGGTAATTTCTCACTTTCTGTCTCTCTGTCTTTCTGGCGAGCACACGCATCCTATAGCAAAAACCTCTCCAAAAAAAAAAAGTCATGACGCATTTTTGCTTAGAAAAATAGATCACGACTTTTCTGATGACCCAATATAAAAACTACTTTTTCAAAAAAAAGTAAAGAAAAAAAGATTAATCTGTAATTTTATATAAATTAAAGGAGCTATAAAAATTTAAAAAAAGGTAAAGAAAATAATAGAAGAAAATCTTGAGCCCCAAAGAAAGAAATTAGCATGAAAACCATACCATTATTTTTCTTATGCAAAGAAATCTCTAAATATGAAAAGAAGAATTATTTTATTTTAATGAATTATTTTAACTTCATTCTAACTTGACCAGAGAGGGACAGAGCGAGAGAAAGAGGATGAGGAGAGTTCCAGCAGCTCCGGCAGCGGTGGGAGGAGCGTAGGGTTTATCTGCTCAACTCCGCAAAGGTTCTAGGTGCCTCGCGGCCTCATCAGGCACCCAGCACGCACTGCACCCTGTCCGCAGCCAAGATGCCGAAGAGGAAGGTCAGCTCAGCCAAGGGGGCGGCCAAGGAAGAGCCCAAGAAGAGATCGGGCGAGGTTTTCGGCTAAACCTCCTGCAAAAGTGGAGACGAAGTCAAAAAAAGGCGACAGGGAAGGATAAATCTTCAGACAAAAGAGTTCAAACAAAAGGGAAAAGGGGAGCAAAGAAGAAACAGGCTGAAATGGCCAACCCAGCACTAAAGAAGATTTACCTGCAGAAAGTGGAGAAACTAAAAATGAGGAGAGTTCACCCTCTGATGAAGCGGGCGAGAAAAAAGTCAAGTCTGAGTAATATCATATCCCATGTCTTATCAACGGTCCCTGTCTCCCTTCTTGTACAATCCAGAGGAATATTTTTATCAACTATTTTGTAAATCCAAGATTTTTAGTAGCTCTAGAAACATTTTTAAGAAGGAGAGAATCCCACCTTATCCCATTTTTTAAGTGTAAATGCTTTTTTTTAAGAGGTGAAATCATTTACTGGTTGTTTATTTTTCAGTACAACCAGAAAATAGTGGAATATTGACTTATAGGAGGCTTTGACTCTCTTGCGCATCAGCTTAACATTCCATAGGTGGGGGCGGGTGGGTAGTTTTAATATCCTAAATACAAAGCATACTAAATGGCAGTTGGGAGTCACAGTCATGCATTTAATGTGTCTTGAATATTTTAAATGACTTCTATTATGTTTTTTAGTAGTATTGTTTCCTAAAGAAAAAACACTCTTTGATTGTTGCTCTCCCTGTCAGAATTGTGTGCACTCTGTAACATCTTTAGTCGTGGTAGTCCAGTTTTCCTAATAATTCTGTTAATGTGCTGTGAAAGATTGGAAATTTGAAGTATGTAGTCTGTATGATACTAAATTGTGATTTGGTGGGACTTACATAACAGCTTTCAACATCTGAAGACAGTGGTTCTTGATAATCTCTTAAGGAAATTTTGCCTACAAATTTGAAGCTGGAATGTCACTGGAATAACTTAAAAAGAATCACTATACTTGCTTTTTAAATTTTTGGTACGTATGTTAAGAATTGGGTACAAATTGAAATGTCTGTACTGATCCTTGACACAACCAATAAATCTCAATTACAAAACTGAAAAAAAAAAAAAAAAGAGGATGAGGAAAAAAAGTGAGAAAGCAAGTCACCAGGTCTGGGACTTGAACCGTGGTTGGCCATGTGGCGGTCAAGTACTCTTAACCACCATACCAACTGCTGGCCCCACTAATTTTCTTTTTTAAAGAGTGATTTTTGCTATAGGGCATGTGCGCTTGCTAGAGAAAGAGAGAGAGAGAGGCAGAGAGACAGAAAGTGAGAAATCACCCCCCAGAGAGAATGGCCATGCCATAATCACCTCTCTTCCCTCTCCTCTTGGGACTCTAGGCATGTACACACACGCACCCAATGTGAGTTTCAAGCCTCCAGGTCCAGAACCCGAATCATGGTCAGTCATGTGGGAGTCCAGTGACACAACCATTATACCATCTGCTGGCCCAAAAAAAGCTAATTTCCACACAAATTTCTCAGCCTAATTCACTTACATATATACATTATAACAAATTTCCAGTCTTGATAATAATTGCATCCACGGATGGTGAATAAATAAGCCCAGAGAAGAGGGTGTGTCATGCAAGAAAATCCACTGGCTGACCTCGGAGCCTCTGGACTGGAACTCTAGTACATAATACCTCTCTCTCAGCCCACACATTGAATCATAGTGCAGTGTGCTCTTCAGCTTAACTAACACTCTTCAAATACTATACCTGGTCAAACTGTCACAGAGTTGCACACCTTCATGTAACATGAATTTAGGTTTCATATTGTTAGGATCTGAAATTAGAATGTCTAGGGGCAAGCAGGTGGTGTGGTAGTTAAGGTGTTGGACTCTCACATGGCTGACTGTGGTTTGAGACCTAGACCTGGCAGCTTGAAAATCATACCGGGTATGTATGTGTATATGCCAGAACTCCCGAGAGGAGAAGGAGAAGAAGGAACTGCAGCTTGGCAATCACCATGGGATGATTTCTCACTCCTGGATAGAGAGAGAAAAACCATAAAAAAAAAAAAATCTGAAACTCTAAATAGCACTATTTTTCACAATATTCATGTTCTACAAGATAACCAAGGAAAGCTGTTTTATCTCTCTTTTAATTATTCTTGCTTTTTTCTTTACGTATACTTTTAACAAGAAATGGTGGAGGTTTTTTTTTAAAGCAAAGGAATCATTCTGTAAAAGAAACAAAACAGAGACACAATTCATAGGTAACAAAGAATGACTTAATTAAGATTGCAAACCTGGGGCCGGCAGGTGGCATGGCAGTTAAGGGCACTGGATTCCCATATGGCTGACCACAGTTCAAGTCCCAGACCTGGCAGCTTTCTCTCTCTCTTTCTCTCTCTCTCACTTTTACTCTCACTCTGCCCTTCTCTGGTCAAATTAAAATAAACAAATAAAATTAAATTAAATAATTTAAAAAAAAAAAAAAAAGAAAGATTGCAAACCTTTAAGAAGCTTCTTCATTAGTTCATCAGAGTACTTCAGGGCTCCAAGGTGAACAAGAACCTGGGGTAATCTGTAGTCAGCAAACATAGTGATACTGGAGATGTCCTTAAAACAGCCGTCTCCTTTTCCTTCTAATACACTCCATGTATCTGCCACAAGAATTTGGGCTCGTTTGAAAAAAGAAACTCTTTTCCCCTGAGGAATGTAGAGAACATAAATGCTACTCAGGTACTGAAAAGCTTTATGTGTGCTATGAAAAAAAAAGTATATGTTGTAACATTTCGTCAAGGGCAGAATAATCTTGTGCTGTTGGTAACAATTTATAGATCTTTCACAAAAGGACTTAATAAACATTAAATGACCTCTGTCACTCCAAATTCACTTCCCATTTCTTTTTTTTTTTTTTGAGAGATTTTTGCTATATGGCACTTGCGCTCACCAGGAAGACAGAGAGACGGAGAAACAGAAAGCAAGAAATCACCCCACCCGGGGGGATGGCCACACTGCAATCCCTTCTCCTCCATTCTCCCCTCGGGATCTTGGGCACGCACACACACGCACCTGGCTTGAGTTTAAGCCACCAGGCCCGGGACTCGAACAGTGGTGGGAGCCCAGCACCATAGCCATTACGCTAACTGCTGGTCCCTCACTTCCCATTTTTTAAAAGAATTATCTTATTTAACTTTATTTATAATTTTTTAAGAACTATTTTTTATTTAATTTTATTCATTGTCATTATTTTTCTTTATTGTTGTTATCTTTTTTTCTTTTTTTGGAGAGGTATTTTTTCGCTATAGGGCATGTGCATTCACCAGACAGACAGAGAGAGACAGAGACAGAAAGCGAGAAATCACTCCCTGGGGGGATGGTCACGCCACAATCCCTTCTCCTCCATTCTCCTCTCGGGATCTTGGGCATGCACGCACACGCGCCCGCGTGAGTTTTAAGCCACCGGGTCCAGGACTTGAACCGCGGTCGACTACGTGGGAGTCCAGCGACATAGCCATTACGCTAACTGCTGGTTCTCTTTATTGTTGTTATTTTGAAGTTGACCAGAGAGAGAGAGAGAGAAGGAAAGTGAGAAAGCATGCTGGTAGGTCCGGGACTTGACCATGGTCAGCCATGTGGGACTCCAGCACCTCTAACCACCATACCTGCTGGCCCCTCTTCCTATTTTTTCAAGGCACATAAAATACAAATTATGAAATTCCTGTACTATTTAGTATTCTTGTCAATGGTGTTACTTCACATATGCATTTCTGGATCACTATAATTTGTTTATTATTACTATTTTTTAGTTGTATTTATTATTACTATTTAATTTGACCAGAGAAAGAGAGAGAGAGAGAGAGAGAAAGTGAGAAAGCAGGCTGCCAACTTGGGGGACTCAAACTGCAGTAAAGCCTGTGGGAGTCCAGTGCCTTAAGCAATGTACCACATGCTAGCCCTGTTTATTAGTGTGTGTGTGTGTGTGTGTGTGTGTGTGTGTTTGAGTTTTCTGGCACGTGCACTCGCCAGACAGACAGAGACATAGAGACAGAAAGCGAGAAATCACCCCCCGGGGGGATGGGCACGCCGCAATCCCTTCTCCTCCATTCTCCTCTCAGGATCTTGGGCACGCACGCACACGTGCCTGGCATGAGTTTTAAGCCACCAGGTCCAGGACGCGAACCATGGTCGACTACGTGGGAGTCCAGCAACATAGCCATTACACTAACTGCTGGTTCCCACCCCGTTTATTATTTTTAATGTCTTGCTAGTATTCCTTTTGAAAGTTTGTCAAATTAAAAAATATAGATACATTTTTTTTCCGAGAGGTTTCACTAGAGGGCACATGCGCTCGCCAGAAAGACAGAGAGAGACAGAGATATAGAAAGCGAGAAATCATCCCCCAGGGGGGATGGCCACGCTGCAATCCCTTCTCCTCCACTCTCCTCTTGGGATCTTGGGCACACACGCATGCACATGCGCCCGGCAGGAGTTTAGGCCACTGGGTCCAGGACTTGAACCACGGTCAACTATGTGGGAGTCCAACAACATAGCCATTATGCTAACTGCCGGTCCCAAAAAATATAGATGCATTTTCTGATTGTGACATAATCCATATTAATTGTGTAAAATACAGAAGAACACAAAGGAGAAAATAATCATCCTCAAGCTCATGTCTGAAAAAATCACATAGTTTTATAACTGTTTTCTTTCGGATAATCTGATTAACTTATTTTAGAGATGAAGATGTAATGGATCAACAGCCAGAATTGATCACCCACTATGGTAATGTCCAAAGTCAACATGTAAGTCCATATAACAAAATTAACTTGTTAACTGTATTTATCCATAGAAGAAAAAATTTTGCCAAGCATTTTAAGATAGTGGGTTATAATTTAACTTAAGAATTCTCTGTAAACCTCCAAATGGAAATTTGCATGGGCTACAGAAAAACATAATTACTGGGGCTGGCAGGTGGTGTGGTGGTTAAGGGCACTGGACTTCCTTAAGGCCAACTGCAGTTCAAGTCCCGGACCTGGGCTTGCTTTCTCCTTTTCCCTCTCTCTCTCTCTTTCTCTCCTCTCTCTCTCTTTTACTCTGTCCCTCTCTGGTCAAATTAAAATAAATAATTAAAGTTAAATAAAAAACAAAATTACTATCCACTCCTAGTCCTAATACCAATGATAATAACCTCTAATCATTTTATATATATATACACACACACATATATATATAATTGTGGGGGTTTTTTTGGCTATAGGGTTTGTGTGCTAATGGGAGAAACGAGAAGAGAGAGAGGGAGGGAAAGTGAAAAAATACCCTCTAGGAAGGATGGCCACACCACAATCCATTCTCCTCCATGGTCTCTCGGGATTTTGGGTTCATGCGCACACTCATCTGGCGTGTTTTTCAGGTCCTTAGCCAGCCATACAGGACCCAGTACTTTAACCACCATGCCATCTGCTGGCCCCTCAAATCATGTTTTATAATTATTTGTCTGCTTGTTGGAATAATCAATATTACTAGCTACCAAAATATATCTTTTTTTTTTGAAGAGGTTTTTGCTATAGGGCGCGTGCGCTCGCCAGACAGACAGAGAGAGACATAGAGACAGAAAGCGAGAAATCACCCCCCAGGGGGGATGGTCACGCCGCAATCCCTTCTCCTCCATTCTCCTCTCGGGATCTTGGGCACACACGCACACGCACCTGGTGTGAGCTTCAAGCCACCGAGTCTGGGACGCGAACTGCGGTTGACTACGTGGGAGTCCAGCGACATAGCCATTACGCCAACTGCTGGTTCCCCCAAAATATATCTTGACTGACCACCTTGGAAAATATTTTAATTAGTAAGTGACATAAGTAATTGAATAAAAAAAGAAATCAATGGGGTCAGCAGGTGGCATGGTGGGTAAAGCACAGGACTCCCACATTCAAATCTCAGATCTGGTGGTTTGCTTTCTCGCTTTCCCTTCCTCTCTGGTCATGTTAAAATATGATAATAATAAACAAATGGAAATAATAATTAAAAAAAGAAATCAAAATTTTAAGGAAAGGTTCCATATAAAAATTCCACAAGATGATAATATAGATTTCTTCATTTACTAATAAAACTCCAACGACACTGTCAGAATTAAAAATTATCTAATACTGCTTAACTTTAAAGTACACCTGTTATCATCAATCCAGAGTTACTCTTACTAAATAAATTAAAATTCCTAAAGCTACTATTAGGAAATTCAGAATTCTTACTCTCTTTTTCTTTTATTTTTTTTAAGAGATATTTTTGTTACAGGGTGCATGTACTTGCCAGAGAGACAGAAAGTGAGAAATCACCTCCCAATGTGGTGGCCACGCAGCAATCCCTTCTCCTGTTGGGATTTTGGGCATACATGCACACACTTCCACCCTGAGTTTTAAGCTGCCAGGTCCAGACCTTGAACTATGATGGACTACCTAGGAGTCCAGCTAGCTATGTTACCATTACGCCATCTGCTGGTCCTAACATACTTTGAATACAAAGATAAATCTCAAAGTAACCTTTCCATTAGCAGTATGGTCAGTCAGAAGAGAATAGCATTCATTGGAGGCCTAGCAACTCTTTCCAGGAACTCTCTCTCTGCCTCATTTAACTGATCACAGTCAAGGCCAGCCACACTGATCACAGCTAACTCTCTCTCTGCCTCATTTAATTGATCACAGGCAGCCACATTTAACTGATCACAGTCAAGGCCAGTTCAATTGGTCCTTGTCCAGGAGTTTTAGAACTGGCACTGAGGGGACCAGCAGTTGGAGTAATGGCTGTGTCGCTGGACTCCCACATAGTTGACTGCAGTTCGAGTCCCGGACCTGGTGGCTTAAACTCACGCCAGGCACATGTGCGTGCGTGCCCAAGATCCTGAGAGGAGAATGGAGGAGAAGGGATTGCAGCATGGCCATCCCCCCAGGGGAATGATTTCTCGCTTTCTGTCTCTGGCAAGTGCACACACCATATAGCAAAAAACGTCTCAAAAAAAAAAAGAATTGGGAACCAGCAGTTAGCGTAATGGCTATGTCGCTGGACTCCCACGTAGTCGACCGCGGTTCGCGTCCCGGACCCGGTGGCTTAAAACTCACGCCGGGCGCGTGTGTGTGCGTGCCCATGATCCCGAGAGGAGAATGGAGGAGAAGGGATTGCGGCGTGACCATCCCCCCTGGGGGGTGATTTCTCGCTTTCTGTCTCTATGTCTCTCTCTGTCTGTCTGGCGAGCGCACGCGCCCTATAGCGAAAATCTCTCTCAAAAAAAAAAAAAGAATTAAAAAAAAGAATCTTTTAAAAAAAAATTTTAAGACAGATTTTTTGCTATAGGGCATGTGTGCTCACCAGAGAAAGAGAGAGACAGAAAGCAAGAAATCATCCCACAGAGGCTGGCCATGCCACAATCCCTTCTCCTCCATTCTCCTCTCAAGATTTTGAGCATGCACACACATGCCCCACATGAGTTTTAAGTTGCTGGGTCCAGAACTCGAACCACAGTAAACTACCTGAGAGTCCAGTGACGTAACCGTTATGCCATCTGTTGGTCCCTAAAAAGAATCTTAATTAGCATATATGATCAGGCATCTTCCAGTAGTCAAAAGGCTAGTTATTTCCTGACTAACTGACCTAAAGGTAAACCAATTAACCTTTCAGATTTGGTTCCTGTTCTACAAAGAGGTCTACTCCTTGCCCTACAGAGCTGTTCTATGGATCAAATGAGAATCTAATAATTTTAATAATATTATTGGGGGGCTGGCCTCATAGAATAGTGATTAAGGGAGCTCTGATCCACATGGCTACACTGGCACCCTGCATAGGCCAGGCATATGCATGTGTGTGCCCAAAATCCCTTACAGAAAGGAGAAATGGAGGAGAAGGGATTATGGCATGACCATGCCCCATGGTGGTGTTGGTGGGGCGGTTCTTTCTCCCTCTCCTCTGTTATCTTCTGGCGAGCACACATGCCCTCTGGCAGTAAAATATATATTGGTAATTTGGGTTATTGTTGAATTGTGATTTCAAGAGGATAACTTTAAAATTTCAATCTGATATAAAGATTCACTAACTTGGGGCTGCTGGGAGGTGGCATGGTAGTTAGGGCACTGGACACCCACATGGCCAGCTCGGGTTTGAATCTGGACCTGACAGCTTGCTTTCTCATTTTCCCTCTTTGTCTCCCTCTTTGGTCAAATTAAAACTTAATAATAATAAATAAAACTATATAAAATAACTCATTAAAAAAAGATTCATTAGGGACCAGTAGTTAGCGTAATGACTATGTCGCTGGACTCCCATGTAGTCTACCTCGGTTTGAGTTCCAGACCGGGTGGCTTAAACTCACGCCGGGCACGTGTGTGTGCGTGCCCAAGATCCCAAGAGAATGGAGAAGGGACTGCAGCGTGGCCATCACCCCTGGGGGGTGATTTCTTGCTTTCGTCTCCCTGCCTCTCTCTGGTGAGCGTACACGCCCTATAGCAAAAACCTCTCAAAAAAAAAAAAAAGATTAATTAACTTATTCAACAGATTTATATGATGTGATTCCTTTCACATTCCATAACTATGGTACAGTTAAAATATGCAGTGGTAAAGGATTCCAAATGAATTTTATGAAAATAAAATTCAGGTATATACTGGGAAGATAAAACAAAATGTTTTATTATAGTTTAAAAGTATACCTACAAGGGACCAGCAGTTAGCGTAATGGCTATGTCACTGGACTCCCACGTAGTCGACTGCAGTTCACATCCCAGACCCGGTGGCTTAAAACTCACGCCAGGCGCGTGTGCGTGTGTGCCCAAGATCCCGAGAGGAGAATGGAGGAGAAGGGACTGCGGCGTGACCATCCCCCCTGGGGGTGATTTCTCGCTTTCTATCTCTCTGTCTCTCTCTCTCTGTCTGTATGGCGAGCGCACACGCCGTATGGCAAAAAACCTCTCCAAGAAAAAGAAAGAATTAAAAAAAAGTATACCTACAAGAGGGGCAGTCTTCAAAAAGCTTATGAAAAAATGTGTATTATGAAGAAACTATGCCGAGTTTTCAAAATTTTTTGCTCAAAATAAACTCCTACTTTAATTCCACTTTCTCACAAACTCTTTGGAGTTCTCATATATTTAATTTGTTTGCATCATAAAGCAAATAATGTTAAAGTACACTGTATATTAAAGTATATATACACATTGAACTTGGCAAAAAAAAATCTTTCGATAGAATTTAGGACCCATTCTCATTTTTGTCCAGTGAAGTAAATTTTTCCAATAAAAAGACCTGAATTAGCCTCGCATGACAGCAATATGGAGGGTTCCTGTTTTCTTTTGATTTGAAACATATTAAAGGAAGAGGAAAAAAAAGTCAAAAGTAAATAATAACGGAAATACCCTAATTAGAAAACAAAAGGCAAGTAATAGCTTTGAAATACTATTTGTTACTGTTTCTCCTCCACAGGGAACAAACTTCTAAATTTAACTTTCTGTAATCAAATCAAGTTCTAAAAGTAAGGCAATTAATTTAGAGGATTAACACTTGTAAAATCTCCCAACAGAAGCAACTCACCTCAAACTGAGTAATGTCTCGGTATGAAGGAAAACTTTCAACCACCAAGTGCATTAACTTCTGTGCGCTTTTATCACTTTTGCGCACGCAGTTAAGAAAAGAGCCTCCAAACTTCTCCAGCAGAATTTTCCCGGTTTCATTGAGAATTCGATGCCTCTCTTCTATCAAAGGCATGGAAACGTCTGTGTCCGAAAGAAATATCTGCCGAACCTGATCCAGAGACACTGTGGCATAGTATGAAGCACTAGTGATCGGTATTCCTTTAAGGAGAAAAGAACATTTAGAGGAATAACGTCATACGTTTATATTCATTAGACCCTTCCTTGCTTTCGCAGGAAAGAAACCAAGTTGAGTGTTACAGGGATGCACCAAAAGTGGATACAGCACATACAAATCAGAAACGAAACCCTCTTTTCTACTTGCTCGTCTGTATTCATCCACTGCAAACCTGCAATGTTACATCAGATGTATTTTGACTGCCTAAAAAGTTTGATAATGTGCCTTTGTCCTTCAGATAACATTAACGTGGTTATCTTTAGAAAACTGACTTTTATACTTACGCTGGGTGATGGTAAAAATATTAGGATCTTTCCCCACTGATCATGCCTCTTCCTATACTTTTATTTTAAACAGACGGACTGGCAGCGAAGAACTGCACGCTAACACAATAGTGCATCTCCCAGCCCGCTCCCCGGACCCCCCACAGTGACCCCAAGCCTCTGACCGCGAGCGGGGCACTAACCTTCGTCCAGGGCTCTGTTGACCGCGGCGCACAGAGACCAGTACCCGGTGTACGTCCTCCCCCTGTAGCCCACCACACACTTGTGCTCATCCTGCTCCGACCAAAAGGAGAAGTTGAGCGTGTCCGTCAGGAACACCCAGTTGACTGCGGCCTCGTCGGCCGCCCTGGGATTCAGCTCATGAAGGGCCTTCCACGCCCCCACGCTCAGGTCCGGGCCAGAGGCCTTGGCCAGCAGCAGCTCGGCCACCCTCTGCACGCCTCCGCTGTCAATGAACACATCCCGACTGTTTTCTGCAATGAACTTGGCAGACTCCCTGGGACTCAGAAGCCCGTCCATGCCTCTCTCCTCTGCGACTAGGGAACGTCGGGCGCTTTGGGTCTCTAGGGCCCGAACTCTGCCGTCTCTAGGCGGGGCAAGGTTCAAAGTCTCTCTAAGCCTCTCCCAAGGTCCCTCTGAGCCTTGCCCTCCCCTACCCACGTGGGATCACTTCCCCACCGAGGTCCCGCCCTCCCACAGCGAGGCCCCGCGAGCCCCCAGGCTGCGGAACACCGCCCCCCACCAGCGATCGCATAATAAAGCGATCCGGGAGGCCGCGGGGCCGCGCCCAGCCGGGGCCTTAGGCACTTCCGGGAGGTCGCCCCGCCCCTTCTCGCTCGGGCGCGCGCCTGGCTCCCCTTCCGGTTCCGAAGGTGGGGAAACCTCCTCCAAGTGCCTGGCGCGTGCCGGCCGGGAGTCGCCCACCCTGGGACGTGCGGCTCCGCCATCTTGCGTTTTTTCCCACTCGGGTTCCCGCAGGTGAAACGCAGGAACTGCGGTTTGGCGTCGTGGCCCCGGACGTGGCATTCCAAGCCGAGTCCCGCTTTGCCCTCACCGGGCTGCCTCCCATCTGCCCGAGGGCGAAGTGTGGGCGAGACCGCCCCGGCGACGCCTTGCGTCCGAGGCCCTGCCCGACACGAGCATTTTTGGCCGTGACTCGGTGCGAGTGGCCGACCCACCCCCGGACTGCGACACCAGGCGGCGGAGCCCTAGCCCCAAGCCCCGGCGGCTGCTGCTTTCCTTTGCTAAATTTCTGGTCGTTTGGAGGGCGATTGAACGTTTCAGATTAATTGGCAAGTTTGGAGAAGTGATGTGGAAACAAGGATATTAACCGTTAACATTGCACGGCTGGCCTGTGCTCATTAAATTCTGATTCTTATCTCGTCTGGGTCATGACAGAAGCGGCTATTAGCTCGTCGTGCAAGTGAAGCCGAGTGGTTTAGGGATTAGACCCCTCCACCCCAATCAAAGCAATGACTCGGAGAGATTGAAATCTGAATTACTCAGTTCCCCCAAATCAAGGGCACTTGGGCCTATCACCCATTTCTTTTTATTTTTTAATATTTTATCTAATTTTATTTATTTACTTGTTTTAATTTGACCAGAGAGGGACAGAGTGAGAGCGAAAGACAGGTAAAGTGAGAAAGCAAGCCTCCAGGTGTGGGACTCGAACTACATTAGGCCATGTGGGAGTCCTGCGCCCTCAACTACCTGCAGGCCCTCTCACCAATTTCAACTATTCTGGTTGTCAGTGTATCAATGGCTCCACTAAAAAGACACCAATAAAAGGAAATATGTCAGTATCACCACTACAAAGCTTTAACAATTCGTTATAAGAGGAGGAGGGAGGCACAGAAGTCCACTTAGCTATGATTCAAACCTAGCCTCAGTGGTTGAGTCAGGTCTTACAAGACTACAACAGAATCCCTGGGTGCCCCAAATCCTGAGTGTTGTAGAAATGGAAGAGAAAGGATTGAGATGTGACCACGAACGCTTTAAGAAAGTGCTCTCTCTTGCCATGTGTGAATATGTACATTTTTTTTCCTCTTTCTCTCTAGTGAGTGCACATTCTCATTAAAAAATAATAATAAAAAGCCTACTGATGCATATCAGTATAGAGATCTGTGTTTTTATTCTCATTCTGAGACTTTAACCTCCAAAGATAACAATGTTCACAGCTTTGGGAAAGTCATCTATTTTAAAAAGAACCATGGAGGGGACCAGCAGTTGGTGTAATGGCTATGTCTGTGGACTCTCATGTAGTCAAACATGGTTTGAGTCCTGGACCTGATGGCTTAAACTCAGGCCCGGTGCGTGTGCATGCATGCCCAGGATCCCGAGACTAGAATGGAGGAGAAGGAATTGCAGCGTGGCCATCCCCCCAGGGGGTGATTTCTCTGTCTCTCTGTCTCTCTGTCTTTCTGGTGAGTGCACATGCCCTATAGCAATAACCTCTCAAAGAAAAGAAAACAAAACAAAACAAAAACATGGGACCAGCAGATGGTGTAGTAGTTATGTTGCTGAACTCCCATGTAGTTGACCATGGTCTGAGTCTGGGACTGAAGGCCTAAAACTCTGAACAGGCATGAGTGCTTCCTTGCCCAAAATCTCGAGAGAAGAATAGAGAAGGGATAGTGGTGTGGCCATTCCCCATGGGAGTGGGGTGATTACTCTCTGTCTCTCCAGGGAGCACACACACCCTATAGTAAAAATCTCTTTTAAATGAAAGCAGCAGCAGCATGCCGATCCCACAGTTCCAATTGTGGATCTGGCAACCTGAAAAACATGCTAGGCAAATGGGCACAGCTGCCCAAAATCAGAAGGGGAGAAATGGGGAGAACGGATTGTGACATGGCCATTCCCCCCGGAGGGTGATTTCTCATTTTTCCTGTGTCTGTCTGTCTCTCTTTAGAGAACACATATGCCCCACAGCAAAAAAAGAAAAAAAAATTTTTCCATCTGTGTCCCTAGAGAAGTGGAAGGTCGTTTTACCTCCGATTTGTTATTTTGGTAAGGAAAAGGAATTTCAAGACTCCACTATGATTTGCTCTACTGGGAAAGTCACTAACACACAATGCAGTCGTGAATCTGTCATCTTGGCTTTTCCTGTTTACTTTGTATGGAAGAGAAATATTGAGACCGGGTAAATAAAACAAAAGCACTTATCTGGGCCAGATTAAAGATGACTGGCCATGGGGAGGTGTGTCCGGGCATGTTCAGTGACCAAGGCGACCAAAGCTATGCTCTAAACCTCATCTTCTAGACCCCCAAAACACTCAGACAAGGGTCATTGAAATCCTCAACCCTTACTGAACCTCCTGCTTTAAAGAAGAAACTTTTATAAATCTGAACTCATAATCCCTTTCTGTGAATACCATGTTGCAAAACACAGTATAGAAGAGATTTTTGTCACAGAATTGCCAGAAAGCACCACAGAGGCACAATAAATATGAGAAATCAAGACAATGTCTCGCCCCTAAGTGAAAAGAACAATCCTTAATCATGCACACAGTACAGTACAACTTGTGGAAACGTCTGATAGAGAATTCAGAATATTCATAGTGAAAGATTTAACAAGATGCAAGAGCTGAGAAGACAATCAACTCCAGCAGGTTCAGGAGAAAAGAGACAGTGAGTTCCAGGAAGTGAGGAAGTTCTTGTACAATCTGTACAAAAGTTTCTAAATCCCTTCTTTTCTATGCACTTTTTTATTTAAGAGGGTGGGGTCCCAGATGGGAACCCCCCACAATAAAGTCTCAATGTTTGGAGAAAAACAAAATCAAATGGATCTGTTGGAGATGAAGGCTGCAATACAGGAAATCAAAACCTCACTCGAAAGTATTAAAAGCAGATTAGTCCATGCAGAAGATCGAATCTTGGAAAACCTCCGACCTAGGGGGAAAAAAGAAACTGAGAAAATAACCCCCAAAAATGAGAATACTGTATGAGAAATGCTAGAAATATGCCCAAACATCCAGATAATCAGTATCCCAGAAGGTGAAAAAACTAATAAGGGAATTGATCATTTATTCCATAAAATCCTAGAAGAAATCTTTCCAAGTATAGAGAGGCATTCAAATATCTAAACCCAAGAACTAGAAAGGACCCCTAAGAGAATCAACCCAAAAAGATCTTCTCCAAGACACATTATAGCCAGATTGATCAAAACCTCAAAGACAAGATACTAAGATTGGCAAGAGAGAAACGTCAGGTTACTTAGAAAGGTATGGGGCCAGCAGTTAGCATAATGGCTATGTCGCTGGACTCCCATGTAGTCGACTGTGCTTTGCGTCCCGGACCTGGTGGCTTAAAACTCACGCCAGGGCACATGTGCGTGCGTGCCCAAAATCTCAAGAGGTGAATGGAGGAGAAGAGACTGTGGTATAGCCGTGTCCCCCAGAGGAATGATTTCTCACTTTCTCTCTCTCCATCATTCTCTGTCTCTCCAGCAAGCGCATCCACCCTATCCCCCCAAAAAGGAAAGGTTATCTCATCAGGCTAACATCAGACCTCTCATCAGAAACAATGCGAGCAAGGAAAGAATAAGAAAATATATTCAAAGTATTAAGTGAAAAACAGTCTCAACCAAGAATACGGTACCTGGCAAGATTATCCTTCATATGGGGTCATATGGGGAGAAAAGATAAAAATCATTCTCAGATAAACAAACCTGAAAGAATTTACCAACACCAGATCAGTTCTTCAAGAAGTTCTAAAAGGAGTGCTTTCCCAGGAAAACTAAAGACACGAATACAGAAATAAGAGAACAAAAAGCAACCAAGAAAATTACCAACTTAATGCTAGGGTCAAGGAATATCAATAATAACATTGAATGTTAACTTCCAGGATTTAAATGGAAAGATAAAGATGGGCCCACAGAAATGCTACAAATTCAACACAAGAGAGATTACTTACATATGACTGAACTGGGTGAAATAGAATTTTATGACTTTTGAGTAAAATATTACTGACTTTTTCTTTACTGTGCTTTGTTTTCCCATTTAAGGATTTTGCTTTCTTTTAAGCTGTTGGTAGGTTCAGCAATTCGTTAAAATGTTTTTTCTTCTTGTTTGTTTCTTTGTAAACATAAACTTTTCTCCCTTCCTGACCCCTCTGCAATTGGAAAATATTTGGGAGTATTCTTAATTCGTGGTAGAATGGTTATTTGTGTAAGTTCAATAATACCTGTTGCCTTGAATCAGAAATTGGAAATACTTGTTATTGGACAGGACTTTGATTGGAATGTCATATCTGATTAAACCAGAAAATTACGGAACTAACGTAGATCTCATGTAAGTCAATAAAAGCTCTTGGAAAGATGGTCTGGCACTATATGCAGTTCTGCCTAGCAGAGAGGATTGGATAAACTACATAAAAGAATTCATACCATAAAATAACCTGGACTTTTCCAGCCCAGCATTGTAATCAATAGAGATTGCAAAAGAGCAGCCACAACCAGAGGATTATCTTGAAGACTTTGAAGGAAGAAAAAGAGACTGATCTTTGCTAGCAGATGGTATATCACAGAATACTTGGTAGGCAAGGCTGAATTGAGAAGGTTTACGTGTGAATTTTGTGCTGGGTGTTTGCTTTTCAACAGTTTGAGGAGTTGACGTGTAAATATTTTCTCAAAAATGTTTAAAACCATACTATGTCTGTTGTTACAGAGTCACAAAATTATAACAAATATTTCAAGCATTATCTTTAAAATGAAGTTTCTTGAAATTTTGAAAGTTGTTTATTGACTGTCAAGAACTATGGAATATGAGCAAACATTTTTTAATAT